CAGCATCCACTTGATCGACTTGATGATCTTGTAAAAATTGTCTAGCATACTGTTCAACCTCGAGCTTTGTCAGAGAATGAAAATCTGAGACAACTACACAATCTGTGATTTGATCATCCTTCATAGCACTGGACTCCACTAGCTCTTTGATGAGTTCAAAGTCAATACTGGTGGCAGACAGTAGGCAATGAGGAAATACTCCCATCATTTTGGAATGGTATACAAATGGAGTGAAAAAGGGACGAAAGTTTCTACTTTCTGGTTGAAAATGAAAACGACGACCTCGTGCAAGATTTCGAACTCCATCAATGGCAATAAAAGGAAACGGGTTTGTAATGGCAGTTGGGGAAAGTCCAGGCTCTTTTACAAGGGTCGTAAAAAGACGCTCAAACAAGTCAACTCCAAAGAATGCGATAGGATGGAGTTGAGCCAGAAGAATTTGCCAAGGTTCCTTGAATCCCTTGCTTATCAAGTAGTTGCAAACAGAAACCCGAACGAAATACAACAGTTGGATAGCATGTTCAGTGAGTTCAGGCTGATAGTTACTCTCGCAATACACCAGGCATTGATACATGTCTTTAGAGCCAAAGTCATCTTGAGAGCTCTTGCAAGCAAAGTAGTACCCAAAGTTTGAATAAAGCAACTCTAGAAACATCCTTGTTTTTCCTGCACCAGAAACAGCAAAAAACAGTTTGATATTATCGACATCGTCAATTTGATAATTGGTTACTCTCCTATCAAGACGGTGTTCCAAGCAATTGTCGTTAAATACGGCGTTATTTGGCAACCTTGTGACATCGACAATCTTTTCCAGATGATGTATCAAATACTTGAAAGCGTCATTTGGGTTTTGCAATTTCAAATTATTGGTTTCGATGAATTCTTGATCAGCTCGACTTTGTACAAAGTGTCTTTGATAGGGACGGTCAACATCCACATCATTCTTGGATTTAATAGTCAGTGGAATGTCGTAACAACCAAAAGGATATTGAATAGAGGTCAGAAACCCATATCGAGCAATGGCTGGACCATACACCTCAAAATGAAGAGTGAGTTCGTCAACAGGAATAGCGTCAAGGAGGGGAGTGGCAGCAGTCTTGTAAGCTGAAATCAAATGAGAAACAGTAATCAGAGGTAGAGTTCCTTGTGGTCCTCTTCCGTGGGCTGTATCGATAAGCACTGGAGAGTTGTTCTTGTATTGAAGATAAAATTTGGTCATTTTTGAGTTTGTTGAAAGAAAAGAAAAGAAAAAAAGAACAAAACGTGAATTTGTCTCACATTCAAAATTTAAGTGAGACAAATTCACACACTTTGAAGTGTTTAAACATTTGTCATGTGTTCAATATAATGACTCGAGTCTTTTATTCAACATTTTAATATTCAATTATTGTTAATCATTCAATTGTTGGATTGGTAAATATGTTACAAAACATTCATTTACATACTGAATCTGACAAGTGAATAATGATTGTTCCAATCAGCAATTGGATTGGATCGACTGCAATATTGTCATTGATTGCAGTCACTGTTGACCAATACATTGTAATACATTGATAGTCTCAGCATCAACATTGTCATTCATGTCAAGTTGTGCGTAATGTGAGTTTCAGCAACCTGGAAAGTGACAGCATTTACTGAGGTTTGATGTATTTCTTGGTTTATCGCATCATCAACTTGGACAGACACGGTTTTGATCCAGACAACCAGTTGATCAGATACTAGACATGACTTTGGTTTACACATTGTAACAAATGGCTTACAGTGTAAATATTAAAACATGATGGTTGTTTTTTAGGTTGTTACATTGATGATTGTTTATCTACTCGAGTTAAAGCATAATAGTTGTGCAACTTGGGGCTTTAGATTCCTTGTGATTAATATCTATGATGGCATTTTTCAGTTCTTGTTGTGTGAGAATATGGACTCTAGTTTTGAATACATTTACAAAAGTATTCACGTAAAATGAAACACTGAATAACTCTGTACACACATTTATTGTGTTCATCACCATCCAACCCAATCTCACCATTTCAATCAATCT